CTGTATTTCACAGTAACCCATTATGGGTTACATGAACAAGCAGAGTAGGGCAGTTTCAGGACTCCAGTATCCAAAAAGCGATATCAGGCAAAGGAATGTTGGTGACCCTGATTTGATCAGTAGACATTGTATATGCATTTGGAAATGTCACACTGTAGCCCATAAAGATGTATGATTATTATTAACAATAAATTAATGTCAAAATTCAAGGGTTTGTAAAAATATTTTTAAATATTTATTTATTTATTTGAAAGTCAGAGTTACACAGAGGAGAGGCAGAGAGAGAGAGAGAGAGAGTGTTCTTCCATCTGCTGGTTCACTCCCTAATTGGCTGCAATGGCTGGAGCTGCGCCAATCTGAAGCCAGGAGCCAGGAGCTTCCTCCGGGTCTCCCACGTGGGTGCAGAGGCCCAAGGACTTGGATCATCTTCTACTGGTTTCCCAGGCCATAGCACAGAGCTGGATCAAGTGGAGCAGCTGGGTCTTGATCCAGTGCCTATATAGGATGCCAGCACTTCAGGCCAGGGCGTTAACCCACTGCACCACAGCTCCAGCCCCTAAAAGATTTTTTTGAAAGGCATAATTACAGAGAGATGGGGAGAGAGAGAGAGAGACAGAGAGAGAGAGAGGGAGGCAAGAATTGAGGGAGGGTGTGAGGGAGAGGGGTATCTTCCATCCTCTGGTTCACTCCTCAAATGGCTGCCATGACTGGAGCTGGGTGCACTGAAGCCAAGAGCCAGGAGCCAGGTTTCCCATTAGGGGTTGCAGGAGCCCAAGAGTTGGGCCATCCTCTGCTGCTCTCCCAAGCACATTAGCAGGGCGCTGGATTGGAATCGGAGTACCAGGAATCAAACTGCTGCCCATATGGTATGCTGGTACCACAGGAGTCACCACTACACCACAGCGCTCGCCCCTAAGTTCTTTGTTTTGTTTTCGCTTTTAATTCTTCCTATGGCTTTATCCCTGAGCAGAGGATAGGACAAGTGTTCCCAGCCTCATTGGGTCAGGAGTAAATAAAGCCTGAAATAGTGGCTGCATTTGTTCATCTGGAACTTGATACCAGAGCCCAGAATTTTAGTTTTATAAATATTGAAAATGTTTGGCTCTAGAGTTTAAATGAAGTTTAGCATATTTTTTGTTATTCTGAATGTGATTTACTTGTCCCTAAAGTGTGCACATTACAAAATTTGTGATTTAGAAAGTGGAAGTTGAAAAAAAGAAAATGGAAGTTACCCTCAGTTTTATTTGGAGATGTCCAAGGCACTGCTGACAGTTTTGTGTGCCCCTTTACAGGTGATTTCCCTGCATTAATAAAAGTGTGTGTTTGTGTTTGTGTTTGTGTTTGTGTTTGTGTGTGGAGGGGTATTTGTATGTGTACAGTGCTCACATGCACATAGAAATGACTTTGTGCAGAACTGTGCTCTTAAAGGATGGTTTTCCATCTTCTCTTTTATACTTGCCAGTATAGTAATTTTTGTATCATTATAAACATATAGATCTAATTCTCTTCAGTGGCTGTATAAGATTACATTGTATTCCAACATAAGTGGTTGCTGTTTTGTGTGAGAATTCTGATTTTTCACCATGAAAACAATACTGCAGTGAGAAACCTAGAATATCCATACCCTGAGCATCCCTGGAACTGCTCTTTTGATGACCTGTGTTATTTGAGAATCACTAGGTCAAGTACAGTCCTGTTGAAAATGTTGCTAGGTCCTTCTAAATTATCCTCCAGGGTTGCATCCATCTACACTTCCACAAACAGTGAGGTAAATCTCCTGTGCTTTCATCAACACCAGGTTTTATAATTCACATTCCTTTCAGTGACACATCTCTGCTTTAGCACAAGACATCTGGAAGGGGAGAGCTGCCCTTCCATCACTGCCTGTTGGCACACCAAGGGCAGGCAGTGTAGAGGAGTCTGTTAAAGCTAACAGGGAGGTGAGCATCTGTTAAGCTGGAAACAGAAGTGTTTGGCTTCCATTCCTGTTTATTAATTCAGATAATGTTTATTGAAGGCTGTTACTGGCCATGGACCCTGAGAATAGCTTGATAAACAAGACCATGGTCTGCCTTTATGAGCTTGCATTCCAGAGTGGGTCAGCCTTGAACACATCCAGTAGGATATAATGTCAAGTATGGTGAAGACTTCAGATGAAAAATAAAGCAGAGAAAAGGACAAGGGAGGAGGTGTGTGTGGGGAGACCAGGTGCAGGAAAGGATGCCATTCGGATGGTCTTGGAAGGTTCTTTGCTGATGGGACTCTTGAATAGAGACCCACGTGCAGTAAAGCCTGAGCCCCATGATAACCTGTAGAAGGCCCCATCCAGCTGGGTCTGGCAATAGCAAGTACAGAAAGCCTGAGAAAAGAGCTAGTTAGGCAGGTTCCAGAAGAATCCCGGGAGCTGCACTGACTTTTGATTTGCTAGAGGGAGATAATTGAGCTACCTACTTTCTTTGTCAAATGCTACGTTAAGGCAAATGAAACTGTGAACCTCATGTGTGTGTCTTTGAAAGAGTGATGCTGTTCATGTACAGTAGCACTTGAACCACTAGAACGCAGCATCTGAACCACTAGACAGCAAGTCTCTGTCAGCATTCTGTAGAATGAAGTGGCGTTGCATGCCAGCTCTCTCCCTACCACAAGGCTGACTTTGTTGAAATTTACACAGGTGTTGAACAGACCTCCGCACCTTCAGTGTAGATAAGACTAGAGCAGTGCACTCTTGTGCCTGACTTCCCTTTGTTCTGCGTCTATGTGTTGTACATTATTAAATGTGCTTTCAAAGCTCTGGTGCTCACAGCTGAAAATAAAGTAAGTTTGGAGGACAGTCACAGGCAGCACTGTCCACTCAGCAGGTCAGGTAGTTTCTGCTTAACCATTGTACCAGATGCCCTACTGCACCCATTATTAACTCTCTTCCTTTCAGAGTTATTAGCTGTGTTATAAAATTTCTAGATTTCTGGGTAGTTTTGTAAATCTTAAAGTAAAAAATAAGAGCATTTGTTGCCAGCATTGTGGCTTAGGTGGTAAAGCCACCGCCCGTGATGCCAGCATCCCATATGGACACTGATTCAAAGTCCCAGCTAAACTTCCAATCCAGCTCTCTGCTAATGCACTTGGGAGGGCAGCACAAGGTAGCCCAAGTGCTTGGGCTCCTGCATCCACGAGGGAAAGCCAGAAGAGGCCCCTGGCTCTTGGCTTCAGTCTGGCACAGCCCTGGGCATTGTGGCCATTTGGGGAGTGAACTAGTGTATGGAAGCCGTTTCTCTTTCTCTGTCTCTCCCTCTCTTTCTGTAAGTCTTTCTGTAAAATATATGAAATGTTTTAAAACAAGAACCTTTAACCATTCAAAGAAAGCCTCAAGTAGAAAGAAAAAGAATCTTGCAGACCCACAGTACTCACTGACCTAAAACCTTGACTGAAATTTTTGTTGAAGTTTGCTGATAAAGTGTTCCCCAGAAATGACACATACTGACTTGTGTGAGGTGAGCTGTAGATATTCTTGAAACTGTAAAAATCACTTCTGCTAGTTTTTACACGATGTAGCTGTTATACTCATGAGCTACTTGAGAGCTGTTGGGTAGAGATGTTATTACTGGCAAAGTGGTCACACTGCACAGCTCCCGTGGGCACCATTACACTCTGTGACTGGCATTTCCAGGGCTGGTGCTGTGCACACTTGGGAAGTCTTACCCACAGGTGGTGTGGTATCTGCACAATGTCTGCATGATGGTTCTCTTTTAATTTAGATGGTTGGCAGGGTTCCGTTAGTCCACAGTCTCTCAACTTGTGACTTTTCAATATTGCTCCCTCACATGTTTTTGAGTCCCCTCGGGGGTTGGGGGAATAGTTGCGGCCCTGAGGGTTTGCCCACTTTTCTAGAGACAAGGATAGGCCTGACCTTGCCTCCTGGAACTTTCTCTGAGTTAGAAACCTCTTAGAGTTATTCTGCAACCTTGAAATTTTGTATTTAATGGTGGATCTTTAAGCAGGGGTATCTTATAAACATAGTGCAGCAATCATAGACTTATTTTTATTATTCTTTTAGTAAAGAGGAGGGAGTAAAGCATTATTGGTCAGTGCACATGGTGCTTAATGTGGAATCTGGAGGTGGAGATGGTGTTTTCTTACTTATATACAGTTCATGATTTCCAATTATCGCCAAGAGGTAAACACTAGAATTAGGTCTAGGCTGTGGTTCTAGCTGGTATGCCTCTGTATTAAATTTCATCTCACATGTGTTTGGCATCAAGATTTCCAGCTTTCCAAGGCTGGCCACAAACTTAAAGCAAGGGTCTAAACCAATTGTTAGAGGAAAAGATACAGCAGTGGTAACGATGATGCTAAATGAATCCTTTGTGTGATATCTGACACCTCATCATCTAGTTGAAATATCATGTGTTTTCTTGTTTACTGCAGTGAAAATAATTCTGACTTACCGGAACTATACATTTGCCTTCCTTCCACATATGAGACAATCTGTTTCTGAATCATTGGGCTTCTAAAATTCTGTGGGTAGGGGCTAGTGTTGTGGTGCAGGGGGTTAAGCCACCACCTGCAATGCCAGCATCCCATACTTGTTTTCTTTCTGTAATCCAGAGGTTGAAAAACAACCACCACTCCCAATGCATGAGTCATATGAAAGCAATTTCACTTTATTTAACACTCTGAGAAGAAAAAGCAGCTGAGTATATACGGTACCGAAAGAGAAAAACTCTGTCAAATTTTAAATGGAATGGTGGAATAATTTCCATGACAAAAGTGAAACAAACAATCAACCTGTGGCCCCACTGCACTGGAGCCTGGCCTCACTTCCTACTTGGGACTGACAGTAAGAGCTCAGGAGAAGCCTGGAGCCATACCTGCTGTGCAGGCCTGCGTAGGCTTGGTCTTTGTTTTCTGATTGGACAGTCAGAACTGATGCATGCCATTGACTTCTGAGTTTATAAAAAGGGTGCTCAGTGCTGCTGTTTGCCTTTTCTCTTCTTGGTGTCCAGCATCATGGAGTTCTTCATTGGAACGTGTGCTAAGCCCTGGCACTAAGAATAAGGAGGTGAGCAGCCAAGAACAACACTGCAGCAAGGGCCGGACTGCTGGCGTCGGGGAGTGGCAGTGGATTCCACAGGACCCTCAGGTTTGACCATCCTCACCTGGTGAGTCTTCTTGAAATGCTTGTGCATATCATATGCCAGTCCTGGACACAGGCAGGGGACACTTGGGCCTTCAGGAGCCAGGGGGAAGGAAGAAAAAATTGTGTATTATATTGTCCATTATAAATTGAATGTTATATATTGTTATAAATTTTTACTATATATTATAAATTTTATATCGTATGTTCTAAAGAGATTTTAAATTGTATATTGTAAAACATACATGTGCTCGGAGGTATCACATAGAGTTCCAGGAGGTGTGAGCCTACCTGGCTGAATTCTGATGCCAGGATGGGTGAAGCAGCAGGTGAGTCATCTTCTTTTGGGTGGGCAATTAAGATGCCCAGTGACTGTGTTAATTTCCAGGTCTCTTGTTTTATTTTCTGGGTTTATAGTTCTACTTAGTGTATAGGAGCTGAGAAAATGGATCTGGTCATCGAGAAAGGAAATTCCTGCTCGCAGGATTTGCTTCCTGTTTTTCCTAATTTGCTAAGATAGTTTATCTCAGTTTGCATTGAAGGTTCTGCCACACAGCAGTGAGAGCATTGAGTGGTAAACCCAAAAAGATGGTTGCATATTGTTGTCATTGCCCCACTGAAATCTGATTCTGCCTCTGTGCTATCCAGTGTTTCCCTAATTTTTTGAAAAAGTTCCTGAGGAATACATTGTTATATTGTGTTAATGAATGTGGTTATGTGGGGAGACATATCATGCAAAATTTACATGTCCCAGTCATATTATTGCATTGACTAGGAGTATGGGGACTCCTAGTCAGAGGATGGCACCGAAATTTTTAGAAGTCAGCATTACTTCCTAAGTATATTTGTTGCAGTTATAAAACTATTAAGGTTCTGAATAACTCAATACAGGTTCTTTTTACTTCTACATTAGATTTTGAAATATGAAATATTGAAATCATTTGGATTATGATATGTTTAGAGCATTTTTAGGTCTGAGAAGGCAGGGGCATTGTTTCTGCACAGTATCCACAATGGTTGCCACGTAATTGGTTCTAAAACTTCGGTTGATGAAATGAAATCCCTATTTGTCCCTGTGTTTTAAACAACACAAATTTTCAAAATCTGTAGGTATTGTGTTTTGTGGTTTGGTTCTTACAGTATGTGGTGAATCAAGTCTGCCTTCCTTCTGGTTAGCAGTTACTAGTGTTGACACCCAAGGGTCATTCCTTGAACCTCATCTTATGAGATGCTGACCAGTGACTACTCAGAAACCACCCCTTGATGCAAGTCCTCATGGATGTTCCAGTTTCCTCATTATCCACTCTTGGTGTTCCTGTTAGTGCTGATTGTTCAAATCCAGAAGTTGAAATGACCCCATGTTAAAACTAAGTGTTTGTTCACACTGGCCTTCTCATCCTAGACAGCCTTATCTCTGTACTGTGTTTCAGGAAGGTCTTGGCTTTTTCTCCCATCATTAGCTAGACCTGTTTATATTGCCCATGGTTTTCTCCTTTTGGCTATTTTCAAACTTGATCCTTGATTCCATAATTCCTTTCCCTCACACACAACACACCAAGAAACATCTGTTCTTTTGTTGTCTCATGCTCCCAATCCACAGATGTTCTCTGATAACAATCACCAGGCATCTCAAAGGCTGGCTGGTCCCTATACCCTTCTCAAAGCCGCAGGAATGTGGGAATCTTTTGCTTTTTGCTTTTATGTCTCAATTCCATCACTTTTTCCACACCTCTGCTCCTGTGACCACCATTAAACTTTAGCGTCTCCCACAAAAATCCTAGGCTAGCAATTTCTAGTGTACTACTAAGAAGAAGTTAAAATATAGAAGCTTTCTGGGGAAATTCCAAAATTAGAGTGCTTTATGCCAGACATCTTTAAGATGCTTTTCCTCTGTTTAATGAAAGTCAGATCTATGGGGGAAAACTGGATGGTGAGTTTGCTACAAACAATGCCTTTGTTTCACCTTTATACAGTTTTGTTTGTGAGTTATGTAGGCCTCAATAATTATGAATGGGAAAACTAAAACTGTGACTTGCAGTTCAATATTGGAAATATTTGAAGCTTTCTACTGAAGTGCTATAGTGAGAGAACAGGCATGGAGTCCAGGAAATCCTTCAATGAATTGGTATATGTGTAGTTTTCAGAGTGCAGCTTTCAAAGACATTTAAACTTTGTAAACATTTTCTTTTTAAGGTTTGGCGAGGATTCCACTGTATGTGTATCCCATTTTTCCTTATGGGTCCATCAACAAACATTTGGGTTATTTCCGTATGGTGAAATTGTTAATGATGCTGAAGTGAATGTGGAGGTGCAGACAGTTCTTTGAGATGGTGATTTTCTTTTGGATTCATGGCTAATAAAGGTTGTTCCTTTTGAGATTTTCTTTGAGGAACTTCCATATTGCTTTTCCTAATGGATGGTACAGTTTACATTCCCTCCAATACTGTGTGTTCTGTGTGCTCTACATTGTGCCCAATACTTATCTTTTAACTTTTTAATAGTAGCCGTTTAACAGATATGAGATAATAACCATTGTCATGTTGATTTGCATTTTGCTGATGATAGCAATGTTCAGGACTTTTTCACATATCCACTGGGTACATTGTCTGTCTTTGTTGGAAAACATTGATTGATTCCTTTGTCCTTTTTAATTGTATTCTTTGCTTCTTAGTGTATGCATTCCCTGTATTACTTCCTTGATCACACATACGGTTTGCTAATATTTTCTCCTATTCATTGGTTTGCCTTTTCATTTCATTGATCTTTGCTTTATTGCTTTACTAGTTTGTTGTAGTTTCATTTCCTTTTGTTTGCTTTTGCTCTCTGTTTTTAATTAACACATAAGCAACCGCTCTTGAGGCTAATGTCAAGGAATTTTCTATTTTATAAGTTGTAAGTGTTCAGATCTTCTGTGTGGACTTCCAGTTCATTTTGAGTTGATTTTAATATGTGGTGTAACAATGATGCAGTTTCAGTTTTGGACATGTGGTTATCCAGGTTGCTTTTGTCTCAGATGTGGGCCTTTATGTCCAGTGACTGCATGTTTGGTAACCCTGGTGGGCCAGGGTTCCCAGTGTCTTCATTTGGATCCCTTAAACCAGATGCTGTGGCTGGAGTTGAGGAGGAGCTTGACATGTGTGGTGATTGGGGAGTAGGAGTCCATGCAGTGATGGGGTCAAGACAGGGTACTGTGGCCTCCTCCTCTGGAAGCCAGGGCTATATGAGGGTATGTCCCAAAAGTTTTTTGAAGGGTAGACATTTGGCATAGTGGGAAAGACAATGCTCAGGATACCAGTGGCAGCCCGTGATGGCTTAAGTAGTTGGATTCTTGCTACCACATTGGAGACCATCTCCCAGCTTCAGCCTGGGTCAGATCAGCCCTGCGTATTTTGGGCATTTGGGTAATGAACTACTAGATGGGTGGTGTCTTTATCTCTCTCTCTCTCTCTCTCTCTGCTCCTCCCCCTTATTGATTGAAATGAATTGCAATATTAAAACTAGGAGGAAACATGGACACGGATGATTATTGCAGTAGCATTAGATTATTGAGTAATTTCCTAGAATCATACAGGTGGATGTTTGTAGCTCACAGTAATCCATTACATCTGTTATTAGAAAATGAAATAAAGGTTAGCTCAAGGCTCTATCCATAAAATAATGTCGAAAGATTAATGTAGATTTGATCAGTACAAATTTTATATGAGTATTGAAATGTCACACTAGCCCATAAATCTGTACAACTCTTGTTGATAAAATGTAAGTAAAAATAGCAGCATGTTACTTGGTGTATAAAGTTAAGGGGTTTAAATGATTAATGTCACAACTAATATTATGGTATTTGAAAATGGTTAATTAAGACAAGCAAAACCAGAACCTGTAAATAACTGAACTGTTCTTTCTTGTCATGCTCATTCGAAAGGCTACTATGCTGTGTTTTAAGTTGGGGATGGATATTTATTTTAGATTGTTTCCTCTAATTAAGAAAAATGGTAGTATGTTTTCATGTGTATGTGAAATTGAATAGCATCAGAGCAATACAATGAGTAGGAGATAAGCTTTTTTCATATTTGGGATTTTACCGTATTTTGAGAATCACTGCGGAGCCATTTCAGTTTGCACACTGTTCTTAACAAACCAAAAATTTAAAAAGTGAGGGCTTCCAAATGGTAGAGTTAGAAACGTGCCAGGGGATTCCAATTCAGTCCCATCAAGGTGGCATGTACCAATGCCATCTGACTAGTCCAAGTGATTAATTTCAGTTCACAGTTGACCCTGATAGATCTAAGAGTCAAAGGGATCACATAAACAAGACTAGTGTCTGCTGATACTAACTGATAGAATTAAAAAGGGAGAGAACGATCCAACATGGGAAGCAGGATACACGGCAGACTCATAGAATGGCAGATGTCCTAAACAGCACTCTGGCCACAGAATCAGCCCTTAAGGCATTTGGATCTGGCTAAAGAGCCCACGAGAGTATTTTAGGCATGGAAAGCCAAGACACTCTGGCCAAAAAACAAACAAACGAAAAAACACAACAACAACAAATGAAAGATCTCTGCAAGTGAGTTCCCAGTGGAAAGAACGGGCCATCAAAGAAGGAGGTGCCTTTCTCTGAAGGGAGGAGAGAACTTCCACTTCTTTTTTCTTGGGGAATTTAGGATTATTCTCTCATTCTGTAAAACATGTCATTGGTGTTTGATAGGAATTTCATTTATTTTGTAGGTTGCTTTAAGTAATATAGGTATTCTAATTATACTAATTCTTCCAATCCATGTGTAGGTTATATTTTTGCATTTTGGGAGTCCTTGATGATTTATTTCTTCAGCGTTTTAGAATTTTCATTGTAGATATCTTTCACTTAATCGGTTGCATTTATTCCTAAATGTTTTATTTTTGTTCCCATTGCGTATGGGATTGTTAGATTTCATTTTTGGCAAGCTGGTTATTAGAATATAAAAAAGCTACTGTTTCTGTATGTTGATTTGTAACCTGTAACGTCACTGAATTGGTTTTTCATCTTGA